CAAACATCCCACCTGATTTCGAGTTGCCTCCGCCGACTCCGGAATCTCCTCCCAGCATTTCCGCAAACAGGTACTTCGCTCTCTCACCGTACACCGGCGACTTCGACCGCGTTGTCACCCCAAGAATCACCAACATCGCACGCCAGAGTCGCGAGAGCATCAACACCTGGTACCTTGACAGCTGCTGCGGACAACACATGGTGGGATCACTGACGTTCATCAGCAACTTAAGACGTATGCAACGACCATGCGAGATCACCGTTGCTAACAATGGCAGGATGAAAGCATACGACATTGGTGAAATTTACCTTGAAGCCGATGACACGAAGTTCACCATCCACATCGGAGATGTGCTCGTCGCTTCAGATCTGCAGTACAACCTGCTCTCCTCGGCACAACTCATGCGGTGCGGAGTTGACATTCGCAGTAACTGCAAAGACAAGACATTTGAGCTGTCTTCGTGCTGCAGCACTTCTGTCGGCAAGGAGATAGATGACGGAGTCTTTGTGCTATAACAACACTTACATCGGCAAGGCGATAGACGACGGAGTCTTCGTGCTGCAGTTCTCAGCTCAAGGCACCATTGGCGAATCTGACCGCACGCTGCTGCTGAAGACAACTCCCTCGGAGCCGCCGACATGGTCACACCCCACGGAAATGGACCTTGAGCGGCCCACTTCTGACGGTCTTCTGCGCCTGCGCGCACCGTTCCAACCGCCTCGACCTCCAATCTTGTTGAAACCGGACCTGCCACAATGGAAGAAGACAGCGGCACGTCAGCACCTGCAGGAACAACTGCAGAACCAACCACAGAACCAACCGCTGGAGGAAACGAAGCAACTGGAATAGGTTGGGGTACTCCCGAGCCTGTACTCGGGCTCCAGAAGAAGCAGCCGCGAGTGGATGGGGCACCATCTCAACGACAGAAGAAACAACCGCGAGAGGGTGGGGCGTTCCTCCGGCACCAGAGGAAGGAGTCTCTGGTGGCGGCTGGGGAACCTCAACCAAAGAAGGATGGGGTCCACGAAGCTACGGGACTCCCCCCCGCAGAAGTGGCGGCGGTCGACCCATACTGGGCAACTCGTGGCAGAAGCTGGGGCGGACCTCCTCTTCCCTACCAATACGCTCCTGCCATACCAGAGCCCACAGCAGAAGAATCAGAGGAAGAAGCGACATATGAGCTCTTCGGAGAAGCAGCGGGATTACCGGAACGTACCGAGGAGACACCGTCACCAGAACAAGGGCCGCAGGAAATTGAAGTAATCGGAGCCGAATACAGCTACTTCCGAATCCCAATGAAAGGACTTTCCGTCTCCGATTGGCCGAGACCAAAACCACCACCGTCAACGCATCTACTCGTCACTGGCAAACAGGTTCATGCCGCTGACACAGACGACATCATCGGAATTCCGCGCGCCCTCCTAGAACGAGACTCTGTTCGTGCCTTCACAGCTGACACCGACGCCGCCATCGATACGGGAACTGAAAAGGAGCAGGACGACGCGTCAGCACGTCACAAGTATTATCAGATAATTGTTGGCTACCGTGCGGACCCTAAAACCTGGCATCAATGACTCGGACACCCCTCACACGCTACACTCAAGAACTCACTCAAAGCTGGACTCTTCGACGACGGCGCGCTGCTTCTGCCTCGACAAAGATTTCTCACCGCGGGCTCCGCCGACCCGCCGTGCACTGACTGCCCAACAGCGTCGCTCACCCACAAACCTTTTCCTGACTTACATCCGGGCTACAAACGCTACAAGCCACTGGACAAGGTCTACAGAAACTTCATGATTCTCAGCCACCCAGGGCTCGACGGTGAATAATACACGCTCACATTCATCGACGCGTGCACACGTTACGTCTGGGCTATTAACACCGACTGTCGCTCTCTAGCCTTCGGTTGCTTCGTGACGTGTATGAAGCGGGTTGAGCGTCAATCCGGGCTGAAGCTGAAGAGCTACCAGACAGACGGGGGGTTGGAGTTCTTCTCAACAGAGTTCAAGGAACTCTTCAAGCAGAAGGGGATTGAGCACCTGGTGTCCCTGCCCTACGCTCACGAGCAGCAAGGAGTAGCAGAACCAACAAACAGGAGCCTAGCTACAAGGATGAGGGCCCTGATGAAGCAGTCGGCCATCCCAACCAAATATTGGCCGTTTGCGATGAACCACGCTGTTCGGCTGCACAACTTGTTGTCCTCCCGAAGCCTCGAGAACAACAACTCTCCCTACAGGGCATGGACGGGCAGAAAAGCGGACACGCGTCTGCTTCGAGTGTTTGGCTGCATGGTACAGTACAAGCCCATACAGCAAGGACCGGAAAATTGACTGACCGGGCACAGTGGGGAATCCACCTCGGGATCGAGAAGGAATACAAGGGGTGGATCGTGCTGGACTACGCGACACACGAAGTGAGAAAATTACGTGACTGCATCTTCTACGAGAAGCTGACTCTGCCACTGTTCAAGGAGCACCAAGAAGCTGACAAAGCGCCGAAGAGGGTTTTCGAGGGACATCACAGCTTCGCCACGTCACACGATGAAGCTGAACTGACAGAAGATGCAGATGCAGCTGATGTCACACCAATGGACATTGCGCCGAGCATCCCCCTTACAAGCCCACTCCAGACTCCGACCTTCATTCTTGTACACCAATTCGATCCTGGCGATACAACTCGCAAACTCACAACTACACCAGTGAGGCGCGCCGATCACCGGATGCAGAGTTACCACATCCCAACACCTCACAGGACACCCTCCGTCCTGGCAACGAAAGTGATGACGACGTCGTGGAGGTTACAAGCTTTCACGACTACAATTGCCTCCACTACGAAAAGACCAACGAAACTGGCCTACGCATCCTCGGGCTCGCTGTAGCTGTTCGCCACACCTCTCCCAAGAAACCAACCACTGTTCGCCAAGCTCTATCTAGCCTCGACAGTGAGAAATGGAGAGCAGCCATGGCCACAAAAGTTGCGTCGCTGAAAAGACGTGGAACCTAGAAGCTGGTCCCCCGCTCATCAGCAAAGAGGAGGAAAATTCTCAGTAGCAAATGGTTTTTTTTTTCGCATTAAAACCCTGGTGGACGGCTCCATTGATAAGTACAAGGCGAGATGGGTGGTGCGCGGCTTTGAGCAAATGCACCTGGTGGATTTTACTCTCACCTAAGCACCTGTCGGACGTCACACCTCAGTGCGCATTCTCATCTGCATCGCAGCCGTAAAGCAGCGACCTCTCTGACAAATCGACGTCGGCAACGCCTTCTTGTACGCCCCCGTTGACGCCATCATCTTCGTCGAGCAGCCGCATGCCTTCGAAGAGAGCGATGGCGCGGTGTGCCTTCTTCAGAAATCCCTTTATGGGATTAAACAGTCACCTCGTCTGTGGCAGCAGTATCTCCACTCAGTTCTCACGGAGCTCGGCTTCGCCCAGCTGCCACATGACCTCGGGATGTACAGACGAGAATCACGTGGCAAGTTCATTCTCCTCGTTGCGTATGTCAACGACCTCCTCTACACCGGCGATGACGCAGAGCTATTGGACCAGTTTGAAGCAGACATCAAGGAGAAGCTAGAGGTGACAATCAATCATGACGTCACGCAGTTCTTGTGTCTCAATATCACTCAGTCTGCTTCCTCTATTCACCTCTCCGCTGCCAAATACGCTGAAACGCTTGCCAAAAGGTTCGCCATCGCACCAATCAACCTCACCACTCCCTACCGCACTCCTCCTCCTAACCATGAGCCGAATACCACGCCTCTCTCCATCGACGATCATCGGCCCTACCAACAACAACTGGGATGTCTACTGTTCGCCGCCGTCACGTGCCAGTCCGATCTCTCCTACATCGCTAGCCAGCTCGCACAGTACCTGAAGAAACCTGAAGGGGAGAATCTACTAGATCTATGCCGTGCACTGCAGTACTTCATCTCTACCCCTGGCGTCGTACTCACCTACGAAGCCAATCTTACCGCTACTCTACATCTCCATGGCTACGTGGATGCAGACCATGCGGGAGATGTTGACAACAGACGCTCCCGCACAGGATTCATTTTCCAACTCCAACCTGTGAGACTCATCTCCTGGAACTCCTAGAAGCAGGAACTCATCGTCCGTTCGTCAGCCAAAGCTGAGTTCATTGCCGCCAGTGCAGCTGTTCGCAAAGGACTGTACCTGATGGAGCTTTTACAGGAAGCGAAAGTGACGATGAACGGAAACTTCACGTTACTCTGCGACAACCAGAGCGCGATCAAAATCGCAAACAAACCTGGCTTCGTGAACCGCACGAAACACATCACACTTCGCTACTTCTTTGTCAAGGAAGAAATCGACAAGGGGAGGATCAATCTTACGTATTGCCCAACTAGCGACATGACAGCTGACTTTTTGACAAAGAAACTGCCACGTCAACAGTTCCAACACTGCGCCGACCTCACGTGGGTGGGGGGGGGTGAATCTGGTGGTGGCGGCAGCGGGATCACCAAGAAATCCCACGTGGCCCACCTTCAGGAATGAAGGGGAGTGTTGGAATAACCGAAAGGTTATTATAAGCATTCCCGAAGGTTTCCCACTAACGCGTTAGTTCTTAAACAGAACCACACACTGTACCAGTACCGCAACAGCTCATATAGAGCACAGGGAAGGTCGAGAGTCACCCGAAGGTCAACAGTCGAAGACAGTCAACGGTCGTGACTCTTGACCAACCAGTAACTGCACGACAGTTAATCGCTGCAACATGGTAACTGTCGAGAATAGCAATAGTCGTGGTTACTGTAGTTACCGTATTCTCCCGGATATAGGACCCTCCCGAAAAAAGGACCCCCGGGACTTAAATTCGGTACTGGGACTATGAATATGTAGCACATGTGAGAGGACCCATCTTTTGCTATAAAACATTTTAAGACCCCCCTTTTTTGTATACAGCAGTTGAAAATCAATATGTGAGTCAGCTTTTAGAGGCACATAAAATTATACCCTAGGTTTTTCACTTTGATCATGTTTAAGGGACGGTGGTTGTTTTCTTCTTCTTCTTCTTCTTCTTCTTCTTCTTCTTCTTCTTCTTCTTCTTCTTCTTCTTCTTCTTCTTCTTCTTCTTCTTCTTCTTCTTCTTCTTCTTCTTCTTCTTCTTCTTCTTCTTCTTCTTCTTCTTCTTCTTCTTCTTCTTCTTCTTCTTCTTCTTCTTCTTCTTCTTCTTCTTCTTCTTCTTCTTCTTCTTCTTCTTCTTCTTCTTTATTTTCATTTAGGCTCTTACACCTCTTATTGGGTTAAGCAACATGGAAGTCTCAGGTATCTAGAGTAGGATTGTTTACGGGAATGCTGTGTTGGCCCCGCCCTCGCTTGGGCGACGCCGACGTCCTGGTCGGATGTACGGATGAAGGTACTTCAAGGTACTTCACCACCGGCGAGATCTCCCGCAGCTCGAAGGCGGACTCTGTTATGTGATGCTATCATTCGCATTCACGTCTGTCTGCCTCCCATCATATGTTCGTGCGTTGCATGCGTGGTGTGAGCGTGTGCAAGAATTTGTGTTCTGTGCGGTTTGGATTTTCTTAGTGAGTGTGATTGTGATCTGGCTTAAGCAGATATCTGAAATGACTCCTCTGCTCGAGAGCTTTCCGACGAACCAAGAATCGTCGCGATCGGAGCAAGAACAAGAAAGTTACGAACGTTGGAGTTCGTATGCTTTCTGTACTTCGGTTGTGGCGACTATGGGAAGTTGTGGGAATGACTCATTATGGGGTACAGACCCTTTGGGGTTGGGAAATTCGTACCCATCACTGTAGATGCTGCCAAGTGGTTGGGAGAAACCAAACCAGGTTGGCAAGTGTGGCCAAGTTGGAGTGAGGTGGATTGTGGAGGTTGGGATAGTGACAAAGGTCAAAGTTGGGTTGCCTATGGGGAAGGGAATTGTGTGGTATGGGGTTTCCTTGGTTGGGGACTCCCTTGGGACCTTCCCTCTCGTCCTCCTCTTCCCTCCTACCTGGTTAAGTGCCACTCTTACTCTCTTGTCTGTTACTTATGAGACAATTGTGATTGAGTTAATTTTCTGTGGCAGCATACCCCCTAGTGCGCCGAAATTCATAACTCAAGATTTAGTTCACCTTTTGATGTGATTTTATTTGGCAATTGTAGCCAAGGTCTACAGCTACAACATACTCGGTTTTCGTGAGATTCCAACAGTGAAACTTTTGTCTACAATGTTTCTTTTGAAGTCGACATTTCTGTCCAGAAATCTAGTCCAACGATTTTGAGATATTTCGGCCCCTATTCTTCATAGACTCAGTCCTCAATTTCTAACAGACTCCAGCAGCTCCTTTAGCTCCTTCAGCATCGCGGTGCTGCTTGTCACAGGATCGAATTTCCACTCGAGAATGTTGCACTAAAGGTGAGTACAAGGCGTATTTATACTCAGAAATACATAGAAACAAGCGATAATCCGAACCTTCGGGAACGCGCTCTTCTAGGATAGATAATCACTAGTGCGCATAAGCACGCAAGCCCATTGGCACATTGGATTATGGCGAGATTACGCCTTGTACACCACTGTCGGTGCTGTCGGTGCCGTATAATGTAATTGTCGGTGCCGAAAATACAAAATAAGTGAAATAATCGGAAAGCTCTAGAAAATAGAATAGTAGTCCGATTGAGGTGAAATAAAGTGCAAATGAAAGAGGAAAATAAGGAGAATAAGATAGAGTAAAAATATGGAAGTAAGAAATATGTCGAACGTCGACGTACTCTTACACTTCCCCCCCTCAAAGCTGGGTGGTAGACGTAACACCCTGCTTGACAAGATAGTCGCGAAGAGAACGTCGGGCGTTACCCATATCTTCCTCAGAGACCCAGCTGTACTCAGAAGGATCATAGCCCTTCCAGCGTATGAGAAACTCCAGGGCGCCATGCCGACGACGACGATGTGCAAGCACGGATTCGACCTCGTACTCAGGTTCATCATTGACGAGAACTGGGGGCGGCGGTGGAGGTTGGCGTCACGTGTACAGCTTATTTGGATCCCGATAGGGTTTAAGAGGCTGCATGTGGAAGGCGTTATGAATCTCCCAAGTAGCTGGTAGGCGCAAGCGGAATGTGACTGGAGTGACCTGCTCTTCTACGAGGAAAGGTCCGCAGAAGCGAGGTCGCAACTTGGATGGAAGGTGACCGAGGTTGAGGTTGCATGTGTCAAGAAGCACATGGTCACCAACCGCAATGGTATGATCACGGCGATGGCGATCGGCCGAGCGTTTCTGTGAAGACTGTATGTCCTGTAGGCGCTTGTGTGTCCGATCCCAAAGCTGTTGCATTGTGGTAACGAAGTCGTGCGCGGGCTGGACGGTTGCAGGTACTGTTGGCTGCTGTGGAGCTAGCAGATGTCGACCGTAACAAAGGAAAAACGGGGTCTCTCCTGTTGCGGCATGCTTCGCATTGTTGTAGGCAAACTCCAACACCGGCAAGTGCAAGTCCCACTTGCTAACGTCGTCCTTGCACGCTGCGCGCAAGAGTTGTTCCACAATCTGGTTCAAGCGCTCTGTCTGCCCATCAGTCTGGGGATGATATGCAGATTACATCGCTAAGCGTGTCCCCATTAGCGACATGAGCTCTTTCCAGAACTTGCTAGTAAACTTGGGGTCCCTGTCGGATATGAGCGTTGTTGAACAGATCCCGTGCTGTGAGATGATGTGCTTGACGAACAGCTGTGCCGTTTCCTCCGTGCATGCGGTTGTATGTGTCGGAATGAAGTGTCCCATCTTTGAGAATTTGTCGATGACGACCAGGATGGCGTCATGCCCCGCTTTGGTAGGTGGTAACCCAGTGATGAAGTCCAAGCTGACCACTTGCCAAGGCTGTTCCGGGACGGGCAGAGGCTGAAGAAGTCCTGCTTTCGTATGCTTACTGCTCTTCATCCGCTGGCATGTGTCGCACGAAGTGACGAACTTTTGTACGTCGTCTGCCATGTGAGGCCACTAGTAGACTTTCGCAATCCCAGCAAGGGTCTTGTTACTCCCGAAGTGTCCAGCGTAGAGCACATCGTGGAACTCCTCGAGAAGCAGTTGCCGAAGAGGTGGGTAATTGGGTACCCATATCTTTGTTGATCCTTTGCGTAGTGCGATGTCGTGGTCCCACTGCAGCAATTTTTTATTCTCTGCCTAGGGAATCTCGGGGTCGATAGTGTACCCGTGCGTAAAGAGTCCCTTAAGTAGCGGATTCATCCCCTCAACCTGTATGGCGGCAACGTGTCCAGGCCGGCTCAGTGCGTCTGCCTTATTCTTGTGTCCCGGCTTGTACATGATGTTGTAGTCGAAGTGCGTTTCGAGGAAGTCGATCCACCTGACCTGTCGTCTGGAGAGAGTAGGCTGCGTCTTTAGGTACTTCAGACTACAGTGGTCGGTGTAGACCGTGGTCTTCCTTCCTTCGAGGTAGCATCGCCATGCCTTGAAAGCAGTGATGATCGCTAAGGCCTCTTTGTCGTGAATCGGGTAGTTGAGTTCTGCCCCATGCAATTTCTTGCTCAGGTAAGCAATTGGTTGTAGCCCTTTCCCTTGGTCTTGCATCAGGACTGCTCCAACTGCTTGTTTGCTAGCATCAGCTTCGATAACGTAGTCTTTTTCTGGATCTGGCAGGATCAGGACGGGTGCGGACGTGAGTGCGGTTTTCAACTGCTCCATGGCATGCTGGTGTACATCCTCCCACCTAAATGGTGTATTCTTCTTTAGCAGGTTGGTGAGAGGTGTTGCAATCTTCGCATACTGTGGCACGAACCGATTATAATAGTTCGCGAAGCCAAGGAATTGCTGAAGTTCCTTCACGTTCTCAGGAGTCTTCCACGTACGTACGGCTTCAATCTTCTTTGGGTCGACATGCACGCCTTGAGCGCTCACCATATGTCCAAGAAATTGAACTTTCTTCAAGGCAAACTCACTCTTGGATAGCTTGACGTAGAACTTCTCCCGTCGAAGTATCTCGAAGACGCGTCGTAGATGTTCAATATGCTACTTCATGTCCTTCGAGTAGATCAAGATGTCGTCCAGGTACACCACCACGCATTCGTCGAGTAGAGGCCTAAGAATATGGTTCATTTCGGCCTGGAATGTAGCGGGTGCGTTGGTGAGACCGAACGGCATGACGAGGTACTCGTAGGATCCGTATCTTGTCCAAAACGCCGTCTTATGGATTGAATTGTCCGCCATCCGGATCTGCCAGTATCCTGATCTCAAATCGAGTTTTGAGAATACAGTAGCTCCCCGAAGCTGGTCAAGCAGTTCATCGATCCGAGGAATGGGATACTTATTGTTAATCGCCTGCTTGTTGAGGGCTCGGTAGTCGATGCACATGCGTAAGCTTCCGTCAGGTTTTGGCGTGAAGAGCACTGGTGCACCGTATGGTGATGTCGATGGTCGAATGAGTCCCTTTTCTAGAAGGTACTCGATCTGCTTCTTCATGTCAGCCAATTCGGTAGGACTGAGTCGATATGGTGCTCGGAAGGTCGGTTTCGAACCAGGTTCTTCGACGATCTCGTGCTGGTGGGTTCGGTATGGCGGCAACTGGTCTGGAAGGTCGTCAGGAAGAACGTCTTTGAACTCCTCCAGAAGTTTCTCGATAGCAGGCAGAAGCTCAGGTGCTTTCTTCCCTTCTTCATCTTCGTATGTAACCAGTGCGACGAATCCTGCCATGGTTCTTTTCACGTCCTTCTCGAAGCGTGCGAGAGTCTCCTCCGGAATATCTCCCGTGTTGCTCCAACTCGGAAGTGGAACTCTTCTGTCTTGATTGTAGATGCTCGCCGTGCGGGTGACCCAGTTGATCTCGGGGTTGAACTTCTTGAGAAAGTCTCTCCCAAGAATCAAGTCTAGCCCTTTGATGTTGGTGACAGGTAGGGTCGGTTTCCAGCGAAGAGGACCCATCTGCAGGTGTAACGCTACTTCGCCGTGGACTTGTAATTTGCTTCCGTCAACCATCGTAGCTGTAAAGCTTGAAGGCATGTACTCCTCGTTAATGCGTTCGAGGGTTGCTTTGTCACATACTGAATGGGATGCTCCGCTGTCCACGAGTGCTTGGAGGCGTCGTCCATTGCAGATCACCTCGAGCAGAAGTGGTTGGCGTTGCTCGCTGTACCCGTTGATCGTCTCGTTGATTGGATCGTAGGGCACATCCCACAGTTCCGTGGTGTCCTCTTGGGTTGTAGGTGGCCGGTCTTGGCTTTCCCTATTGCTATGATCTTTTGTTGTCATCGACGATGTTATCCTC